GTGGAGGAGGACTGGCAAGGGGGAGGTGGAGGGACTGAGCAAAAAAGCTAAAAATTAAAAAAAAGAAAAGAAAAAAGCTCATGAACACAGATAACAGTGTGGTGATTGCTGGGGAGCAGGGTTGGGGATAGGGGAGCTGGAGGAGGGTACAGGAGGTATAAAGTGTGATGGACAGAGGATCAACTTCAGGTGGTAAACATACAACACAATGTACAGATGATGTGTTATACATTCTTGCACCTGAAACCTGTAGAATTTTATTAACCAGTGTCACTACAATAAATTCAATAAAAATGAAAAAATATAAAATAATATGAAAAACATATGAAGCTGTAGGAGAAAAGCTAAGAAGATACTAAAAATTGGCAAAGGGGCGTTATAATGGTTACTCCCTGTTGGCTTTACTAATCACCCACTTCGTATGCATTTCACCTTTTCCTTCCCTAAAGAGTACCCTGCCCCTCAGCCACATGGCTTCTGATCTTGAGAGAAAGCTAAAATCCACCTCTTGCTCCAGGGGAGGGTCTTGACTAGCTCGTTGTTTAAGGGCAGCAGAAGGGATCTAAGCCTGTCCAATTAGAATGGATCTCAGGACACTTGCTTTGAAGGCAGGGGAACAAATGTCATTTCTTTGTCCTCCCTGGACATGAATAAAGATGCATACTGCCACAGCAGCTGTGGGAAGATATATCACAACCACAAGGGAAACCTGGGTGAAGATGAAGATAAATTGCATACCACAGAAGACAAAGCGGAAAAATTGGGGAAAGAAAAACAAAAACCAGATTTTAAGTGATATTGAGCTCCTCATTCTAAATTCCGTGAGCCAATAAAATTCCTTATTATTTAAGCAAGATTAAATTGGCTTTTTTTGTAACAAATAGTCATGTCACAATACATGACTATTTTTTAATATATGTACTGTTAAGATATTAACATACATTACTGAAGAAACAATAGCTTCAAGGTGTATTATACGGGATTTTAGTTATTTTACATATTTCTTGACAATAAGATCTTAAGATTTTTAACTGTTTATTTCAAGTCCAGTTTTGCACTTTCGAGAAAAGATGGTAGATTATATAACTACATCTATATTCATATATATATGTAAAGGTATATATATATATATATGTAAAGGTATAAAGATATTATTTTCCCCTCTTTTATAAGTTTAATACTTAAAAGTGTTTAAAGAGAAAGATATGGAGTATGCAATCTTCAAAATTCCCTACTGGTACCAAAATGGTGTACTAAAGTGAAGTTTATCTCAGTAAAAATGTGAAAAAATACTATCTACATATAAGATAAATTTAAATAACTATATTTTTTTCATGGTTCAAAATCACTATCACATACCTACCAATAAGGAAGTTTTGTTAAAAAGAATAGACACTATTTGGTCTTTCACTAATCTCTTTTTGCAAAAGTGATCAAAGCTGAATCTTCAGAAGCAAAGACTTTTTCCATGTTCCAATGAGAATCTGCAAATAATGACTTCTTTCTGCTTTTCAGAGATCATAGCAAAAAACTTTTGGGGGTTTATGTATTAAGTTTTAATATTTAAGCCTGTTTAGCATATATTTATGAACAAGAATATACTTGATAAAATAATTAGTAAAGTTGCTCTCCAGGCACTAGAGGGGAAATATGCATTTCCATATAAAAATGGAGAAAATGTATAAAAATGTAAAAATCAAGAATGTGAAGCTCTATTTCAGACCCCCAAGGAAATAAAGCACTATGATGAGAATGCAAAAGCAACTCTTGTTCATTAGAGGATAATATGGTAAGATATCATTCTTTTTCAAAATGCATAAGCTGTAGAATAATTGAACATAGTTAGCCATGAAGAATTAAACTCCACAAGAAAACAAGAAAGAGATCTAAAAGAATTCTGTAGCAAAGTTGAGAAAATCACAAAATTTACTATAAAGAAAAATGATATATTTGTAGAACTAAAATTGAATATTTCAAAAGTTAGAGGAGAATAATCATTGTGTCCTGTGTAGCAGTACACATATATAACACATTTGTTTTAAACTACATATGTATATAAAACCTTATATACGGCTTATTTATAAAACATAGCTATAAATATTTTATATATAAAACTATAGCTTAAAATCTTTACTACTGAATGCCAATGTTACATTGTATGTGTACAGATTACTACTGTTCTTAGGAGTACTTCCTCAATAGCCAAACCAAGCATTTAAAAGATTAAACACGTTAAAAGTTTTGAAGGAACAAGGGAGAATGTTGAAGCACTGGTGTGCCAAATCACCATATTCTTCATCTCTGCTGGACATCACAGAGGCTGAAAGAAGTCTATTATAAACGATTGTATCCAGGCAGTAACTTCTATCGTCATGATCAACTGGGCTCTCTCTGATGCTAATAGGCCATAAACATAAGTTTATATTTAATAAATTATGAAATTTTAATTTTATAAACATATGAAGAAAACTATAATTTAGCTGGTTGCTAAAAACATTTTACCATTTACATTCATCTGAAAATTTCATTTTTCTAATCATAATTTTTCTTATGAGTTAATTCATTATTAATAACTATTTTTATATAAATCCAAACTGAGTGTCTTTCTTTGATATTTAAAAAAAAACAAAGCAATCAAAAATTTCCCCTTAGGCAAGAGAGAAAGGAAAAAATAAAGCTTTATTTTTAGGCAATATGAACAAAATAAAGCTTTATTTTTAAGTTGTGATTTTGACTACTGCCATTAACTTTCACATAGCTACAAGCTCTCTACTGTGTCATTTTCTGATTTTGATCTTATTCAATAACATTTTCCATTTTCCCCTTGTTCTTAAATTTTATTGGGGTAACATTTGTTAATTAAATTGTTTTCAAGTGTATGATTTGATGATACATCATCTGTATATTGCACTGTTGTTTACCACCCAAAGTCAAAATTCCAATTTTTCTTGCCATTGTTTTAATTCTCATAGTGATTTTATCAATTTGGTAAATAAGTGGTATTTCTAGAGAATTAAAATAATAATAAGAGCAAATCAATTAAAAGGAATGAGGAAAAGTATATATAAATAATCCTGATTTAATATACCTTATAGTGAATACATTAAATTCCATATAAATTAGTTCACTTGTAACAGTTTTCTAATGTAAGTGTCCTAATTTTTAAATGGCATAGGTAAAAGTGTTGTTATAATCTGTTTATGAAGACTCTCACAATGATAAAATTTAAATAAATGATAAATAATCATTGGATTGGTGTAACATGAGAGTATCAGCCGCTGACTTAACTTTATTAAATAAAATGTTATTTTGTGGAATTTAATCTTAATGTAATTACCTTTCAAAACTTGTAAAGTGATTTGATTTCAAAACTGGAAACTGATCTGCATTTCACACCCACAGATACACACACACACACACACACACACACACACACACATTCTTAATATTTTCAAATCTTTGTTTTTGAAGACATGTTTATTAGACAAAGTCTGATGAATTCGGTGGCACAGTTCTGTAACTATAAGGAAATAACTGATGTTGCAATCTCATAAACAAATTCTGAAGAAAATTTCAAAAGGGAGTTTTGAAATATTAGTTGAACAATAGCAACATAATTGAATTGCATTTATCACCTCTAAAGGTGATTCTTTTGGAGGCACAGTATCTGTTACAGCAGCTTTAAAAATATGAATCTCATTAGTTTGTAATTATATCTTGAGAGATAACCTAGTTTGAAGGAATTTCTTGCATAGTTCATAGATGTGTTTTTACACTCAATGAAATACATTGTTTAAATATCTAAACATGAGACTCAACTAAGATAAAAGGAGCTTTTGATAGTTACAGAAGCATGTGTTAGGTGAAACTGTCCTAGTAACTCAGTTGCTAGAAAACACATTCCTTTAGGCTAATGCGTCCCATCCGAACATTCAGAGCTGAAAAGGATGCTCCATATTGAGTAAGGGAATATATCTCCATGAGGAGAAATGCAGATGTGACATATTATACACCTTCTCTACAAATCAACACAACAATGCACTTGCTTTTTGCATAACAATTCAGAGGTTCAAATGAGAAGAAAAAGGCATGTTTGAAAAATAGCTCAAGACCAAATGAAACATGAAAATATGCTAAACAGAATCATATGAAAAGAGTGTGAAGGGGTCACTTTGTTTTAATGATGGCAGTCATAATAATTCTAAATATAAAGCAAATCAAATATGCTTGGTCATAAAGAGAAAAGGTCCCACCAGTTTGTAGTATTATAAAAAAAAGTAAAACACCAATATTTCATTAATTTTCTCATAGTTATATTTTCTGTCTTCTTGACTTTTTTCCCATTATATGTTATTCAAGATAAACCTATTATTTTCTTTAAAAACAGTTCTGAACAAAGAGAATTTTTCATAATTATTGAATTATTATTAATCAAATTCTGTGTACCTGTGGGATAAAAGCAACCCAGATTTGTTATATAATACCTATACAAGTAGCCACGGAAGCTTGCTAGGTCCATAATACCTGTGCTTTGTAAACATTTAATAAACTATTCCTTAAGTAGTAGCATGTACTAGAGAACTATGCCTTTAGATGAATCCTGTATACATTAGTTTTAAAAAATAATCATTTTAATCCATAATTTATACATTAGCATTTTATTTTATTTTCCCCATTTTATTATTTTTTTCCTGCATTTCATTGTTTTAGTTTTTTCTTCTCATTTTATTTTATTTTTTTGGCCTTCGGTTGACTGTTTTAATTTTCCTCTCTCTTTAAGGTTGATGTGATATGTTGTGTTATGTTTCCCTCTGTTCTTTTCTATTTCTATTTAAAACTTCACATCACTTAGTCTGGGACAGTGGGTCCAGTAAAAATTAACAAATAAATAAAACTGTTCCAGTTTTCTGGTTGAAACTTTAAGATACACACTTAAAAAGGTTGTGTCTCCAGTGTTATTAAATTAAACAGGAATAATTTTTACAGAATAGGAACTTTACCTGCTGAAGTTGGTTCTTCTTCCTCTGAAGCTATAGTGGGAGTGGGGGCAGGGAGGGGAGAGAGAGAGAAAGAGATAAAGATATTGAGATTTCATATTTCTAAACAGTGACTACAAGCTCTTAACTTGTAATTTTGTGTATATATTAGAAATCTGTTTTAGATAATTAGATGATAGATTAATGAGTATTTACATGAAATTAACATTTATGCACACGTACTTCAAAATATGTATATATTTGAAAAAAACATTCAACTGTTTCTTTCATCTTTACTTTTGCAAATAAAATTGATCTTATTTAGATTGAGTGTAATACTATAATTATTATACATAATATTGTTTAAAATGTTATATACGACTAGATCTGTCCAGAAAGCATCTAGCTATGCAGTATGAAAAATATAGATGTTTATTGAAGAAGATTCAAGATAAAAGAACCATTGTACATAGGGCAATGACACCTCAGTACTCTTCAAGGCACGCACTTTGGGACCTTTCACAGTTCTTCCAGCATCTCTTCCACTGTTCAAAACACTCTGCAAAATCCTTTGTTGGAATTGCCATCAGTTGCTTCATCATATTTTCCTGAATCTCATCAATGATCTGAAATCTGTTCCCTTTCAAAGGTGGTTTTAGTTTTGAGAAAATCTAGAAGTTATAGGGCACCAAATCTGGGCTATAGAGGGGCTGAGTCACATGGGTAGTTTGATGTTTCACCCAAAATTTCTGCACGAGACATGATACATGAGTGGGCACATTGTCATGATGAAATTGCATTGACCCCAAAAGCTTCTGAATCATCCAGATAGTTTCAGCAGAGGAACGTTCAAGCTTAACACAAAATTTAATACAGATTCATAGCTCTACTCACTCAGTCGTTTGAATGTTATGGTCACACAGTACACATGCTCACTCAACAGCATCTACCACCCCCACTGATTAGTACAGTGAAGTCATCATTGTTCATGTATTGTTCACACATTCCAGTCCACTCCCCTTGGCTGCCAGGTTACTACATCTATGTTGCACAAAGAGTTCTCTTTATATTAACAATGTCTGGACTTTTTGCAGACTTCGAACATACAAATACCTCTGTCAACCACTTTGTGGGAATATTCAACCAGCAAAGAGGAATTAAAAGGTATTGTTGATAGTTGAAATATCATTTTATGATTTAGAAATTATAAATATAGGCTCTTCAATAAATGCTGTTGGGAGAGCTGTACAGCTACATGCAAAAAATTAAAATATCACCACCAACTTACACCATACACAAAAATAAACTCAAGATGGATAAAATACTTGAATGTAAGTCATGACACCATAAAAGTTCTAAGGGAGAACATAGGTAGGGAGCTCTCAGATATCCCACGCAGTAATATTTTCACTGATATGTCCCTTTGAACAAGGGATATAAAGGAAAGAATAAACAAATGGGACTTCATCAAAATAAGCTTCTGCATGGCTAAAGAAAACTTAAGCAAAATGAAAAAGGAACCAACCATATAGGAAAATATATTTGCCAATGATACCTTGGACAGGGGTTTGATCTCCAAAATATAGAAAAAACTCAGAAGACTCCACTCCAGGAAGACAAACAATCCAATTAAAAAATGGGCAAAGGAACTGAACAGACACTTCTCCAAGGAAGATGTACACAGGGCCCAGAGACATACGAAAGGATGCTCATCATAACTAGTCATCAAAGAAATGGAAATTAAAACCACAGTGAGATATCACTTCTCACCAGTCAGAATGGCCATCATAAATAAATCAACAAACAAGTGCTGGCAAGGTTGTGGAGAAAAGGGAACCCTAGTGCACTGTTGGCGGGAATGCAGACTGGTGCAGCCACTGTGGAAAACAGTTTGGAATTTCCTCAAAAAGCTAAAAATGTAACTGCCTTTTGACCCAGCGATTCCACTGCTGGGATTATACCCTAAGAATCCCAAAACACCAATTCAAAAGAACCTATGCATCCCAATGTTCATAGAGGCACAATTTACAATAGCTAAGTGCTGGAAGCAACTTAAGTGCCCATCAATAAATGAGTGGATCAAAAAACTATGGTACATTTACATAATGGAATACTACGCAGCAGAAAGAGCTACTACCATTTGCGACAGCATGGATGGAACTGGAGAGCATTATGCTAAGTGAAATAAGCCAGGGGGCGAAAGACAAATACCGTATGATCTCACCTACAAGTGGAACCTAATCAACAAAACAAACATGCACGGAAAATATAACCTGCAACAGTGAAAGAATAAAGAAACTGACAGTAATGTGAGGGAAGGAGGGAAGTGGGTAACAGGGAAAGGAACGGGGAGGGTCTAATCAAGGCACATGTATAAAGGACCCATGGACAAAGCCAAAGCGGGGAAGGATTGAGGGAGGGAAGTGGAGGGAGGTGGGGCAGGGGAAAGTGGTGGCATGAAAATGGAGACAAACGTATTTGAATAATAAAAAAATTTAGAAAAAGAAGTTATAAATAAAATAGGAGTTATTAAGCCTTAAAGTGACTTAGAATCACTTTGGATGTTTGTTAAGCATAAATATTCTAGCACTTGCCTGGACCCTAGTCAGGTATACACACATAACACACATTCAAACATACTCACTACATGTACCACATATTTTTGGATTCATTAGTGGTGATATTGTGGTAAGGCCATAAGAACCTACATTTTAAAGGTACCCCAAGTGGCTTTGAACCAAGTGTTCTGCAGTCTACACTTAGGTAAACTTGGGTATTATAAAATAAGAGTCCACCATATGAAAATAAAGCTTGATATTAAATCTGTGGCCATGATATGAAAACACAGCTTAATGTTGAAACTGTGGTTCTCAATGCTGAATCTATATTAGAATGCCGTACTCTGGGCCCCACCTCAAAGCAATTAAGTCAGAATCTCTTTCAGGAGCACTAATTTTCAGCCAGCATTGACATATCACTAAGTAATACCAATATAAGGTAACATGAACTTTTAACTCAAAGTGGGAATCATTTTGTTTCCCATTTTTAAAGGGAGGGATTTTTGAGAACAGCAAGACGCTGAGGTTAACACCCTATGGCTGGGTGTTTGTGGAGGAGGAAGAATGATGATTACAACAGTGAAAAAAAAGTTTCTCTAAAGTCACTTCACAGTTTTTCCCAGAATCATCTCATCACCTGTATACTAATAGACACTTTGTCAGGAGGCATTTCTGCCCTGTGCACAAGTGTAGCTTACCCAGAATATTACTGGAAATATATGACACAGCCAGCACTATTTCATTTGATTCATGAAGTTTTAAAATAAAAATTTACTCAGCTGAATTGCTCATAAAGGAGCTTTGTTCCCAGGTGATTTGTTAATCAAGGTATCACTGTGCAACCAGGGAGCAGTCCCCACTGTTTTCCATTAAGGTTTCATCTGCAAAGAGCACACATTAGACAAGGTTACTTTGTGTCCTGACAGTATTTTCCTCTCACACTGTTTGGCTTGTCTCCTTGGCACATAAAAAAATGGAGAGAGCAAACAGAGTTGGCATGCGTGGCATAGAGAACATAAATATTTAAAGAGCTGTAAGCTTCTTTATCATGTCCAAAATATATCATAGCATGGTCAAAGAGGAAAATTGTTGGTAGCGTCCAGGAATTCCCATTAGGAAAATACTATAGGGGTTTGTCGAAGTGCTGACTTAGATGGCTCATTGCTAGTAAAAATCTGGAGATTCAAAAGTGAAAAAAAAAACCCACTTATGACTAGTCACTTTATGTGTGTGAACTCAATTTATAAAGCAGCTGATGAGATGAAAATTACTGTTATTTGAGAGATGAAGATAATGATGTTCAGAGTGACTGGGCAATTTGTCTAAGGTCAATTGCATTTGAGCTCATGTCAGTGTGACTTTAAAACCAAACTCTTTCCACTATGCCTTACTGTCTCACAAAATGCTGATTCCACATCCATTAAGGGAAAAAGTGAAAAAGGGAGAGATGGTCATGGAGCCAGGACTGGCTAGAGCTCTGGGAATGTTAGTTGAACTTAGGCATAAAGGAAAAAATAAAAAAAACAAAAAACTGGATGTAGGAGCCAGGAGAGAAAACCCTTTAAAAATAAAGTTTTCCCTTGAAACTTCTCTAAGTCCCCTACAGCCCAGGAATAGACATAGGCTGGTGAGGTACTGACTATATGGTCAAACAAAATATCCTAACTAAGTGATATCTAAGGAAAAAAGATGAAGTCTAATATTTTATTCCTCAATTATATATGGATAAGCAAGGAATTTTAGGAAAGAACCAGCAAGCATTAAAGTAAACCCAATTTCAAATTTATAGGAATATTAGCTATTAGGAACATCTTAAAGCCAAAGCTTCTGGAGCAAGTAGTGTAGTAATGTACACTTGAGCCTGTAATACCTGAAAACATCTTTGTAACAAATTAAAAATACAGTCATACCTTGGTACTCATTGGCTTCAGAACTCATCAAACTCAGTACTTATTGCATTTTGATGAGAAAAGAAAAATGTTCCAGCACTTAGCGCTTGCTTGGGACTCTTCACACTTGCAGGAACTTGTGTGAGTCACAATACCGCCCCACAGAGAAAATGCTTCATTGTTTGGTACTCGTTGGTTTCAGCACTCACCAAGAGTTCCGTAATGAATTAATGACGAGTATCAAGGTACCACTGTATTAGAGTCAGCAGGTACACAAAGTCTGCATAGAATTCTATTTCTAGACAATATCTTTATAGTTTTGATTCCTCGTAATATGCTGATGCCAGTAACCAATATTCATACTATTATGATACATGTGCATACACACACAATCATGCATATGAGTGTTAACATTGGTATTAATTCACTGTTTCAGTTATCTCCCACAAAGATGGCTTTGTAAGCTAACTGTATTATCAAACAAAGTATCATGAACTATTAACAGGCGGAAGCTAGAGCCCCAGAAGTACATATTAGCCTCATAATGGACATTAGTGGCCTCTTTGGTGATATTGCAGTGAAATAAGTATAACAGAAGACAATGCCA